TTGTTGCACTACCAGGAAAAAAGCACTTCAAAGGATTCAGAACAAAGTTCTGAAGATGATTTTGAAGTTGCCTCCCTGGTACAGTACTACTGAGGTACATAGAATTTCGAATGTTGAGACTCTAGAACAAATGGCCAACAAAATAACTAATAATTTCAGGCACAAATCGTTGCAATCCTCAATTGCAACGATTAATTTCCTTTATACTTAGTTAAGATTTGATTTTAGTTATTACATTCAAAGTGTTTTTTATGTTACTTCATACGCGAAGTTAACGATTTTCAGAGTTGGTTGGAAATGCTAACATGAAGCTTTAGTGTGATGATTTATTAGCTAGACAATGATCTTTAGAAGAGGGTAAGTGGATAGTTCCGTTAGAGTACGGCAGTATGAAAATTGAATAGAAGTTGAAAATGAGCGAAGGGCTATTAAAGCGACAGTTTTCAAGATAGACGCACATTTTTGCCTAGCCCGTACGATGTACGCGGGGACTTGAAGTATGTCTCCAAGTCCACAGGCAAAAATGTGCGTCCCTCTTTTTGCTCATAAACTGACTGCGGTTGTGGAATAGTTCTAGCGACGTTTTCATCACTACCTAAAGCCCCACGTTGCGAGAGCATTTCCAGTCGATGGTGTGTTATAATGCAGTTCTTCTTTACCCAACTATTGTGTTGCTCCCAGTGTTTGAAGTTTTCACTGTTCACTGAATAATTCACGTGAATTTCCGCAACCGTTGAACCCCCATGTGTCAGTAAACTAAACTGATTTTATTGTATCGGCGGGACAACGAATCATTGCACATAAAGAAACAGAGAAAAATAAATCTTGCTACATCGATGATCAAATACGTTCACACAAACGATTTACTACTGACGGTATCATAGAAATAATCTTTATATTCGTGTGTACCATTCGGCATGGATTGTGTGCGTTAGTTTCTGTTCATGATACATCTGCGTATCGCAGTATAACACTGGCGAATGGTTCATATTCAGCAACATGTAATGACACTGAATATGAATGGTCAAAGCTGTTGCATAAAGTGAACATTAACTTTTCACATCGAATTACGTGGGTTATTAGGGGAGATTTTGTATTGCCAGGTTCCTAATTTTGCGTATATATTCTTAAGAAGTATAACCATTGAAATACTATATTCCTGAAAACTTTTTCAGAGGATTTCCAACAAAATATAATCCCTAGTAACCATCATGTTCTTGACTGAATTTTCTTTATTGGTCGCGATGTTAAGGTGTCGTCCACTGTTGTGGTAATGTGGCATGTGCTAGCAAGTTAAAACATCATGACAACATTCCTCTCATTCCACAAAACATGCATGCAACCTCGCTCATTTTCAACTTCTATTCAATTTTCATACTGCCGTACTCTAACGGAACTATCCACCTACCCTCTTCTAAAGATCATTCTCTAGCTAATAAATCATCACACTAAAGCTTCATGTTAGCATTTCCAACCAACTCTGAAAATCGTTAACTTCGCGTATGAAGTAACATAAAAAACACTTTGAATGTAACAACTCAAGGCGGGAGTAGCCGTCAACAATGCTGATGATGGTACAGCACGCAACAACCACCCTACTGCTTTCTCTCTGAGATGATCACGTTGGTCATGACGAGAGGAGCAACACAATAGTTGGGTAAAGAAGAACTGCATTATAACACACCATCGACTGGAAATGCTCTCGCAACGTGGGGCTTTAGGTAGTGATGAAAACGTCGCTAGAACTATTCCACAGCCGCAGTCAGTTTATGAGCAACAAGAGGGACGCATATTTTTGCCTGTGGACTTGGAGACATACTTCAAGTCCCCGCGTACATCGTACGGGCTAGGCAAAAATGTGCGTCTATCTTGAAAACTGTCGCTTTAATGGCCCTTCGCTCATTTTCAACTTCTATTCAATTTTCATACTGCCGTACTCTAACGGAACTATCCACCTACCCTCTTCTAAAGATCATTCTCTAGCTAATAAATCATCACACTAAAGCTTCATGTTAGCATTTCCAACCAACTCTTTAGTTATTAGTTTTATGATTTCAATTGTTATACTTACATGCAGGTTTAAAAAACCTGTTTAAAATACTGAATTGCCAAGGCAGGAACAATGTAAAACACTTAGATATATATCATAACAATTAAGCCTGGTGGGGGCGACCCCGGCGTATTGGTTAGCATCCATACATCTCACGCCAAATTCACGAGTTCAAATCTCACCCCTAGACAAGTCACGAATGACTCAAGTGCGTTAAAGTGACTATAATAATAATAATAATAATAATAATAATAATAATAATAATAATAATAATAATAATAATAATAAAAAAATAAGGCTGATAAGTTACTGGAGCACCTAGGTTAAAATGCGATGTAATTTATATTGAATTTGGAACAAATAAAGAGTTGAAAAAAAAAGGAAGTAGAGGGAAAAGTTTCATCTATGTGTGGAACTTTCAAACGGGTTAGTTGTTTCATTCCTCAAAATGGTCTGCTTATGTTCTACTACGCTCACATTCACTCACAGTTGAACTATTTGATCATTTTATGGGACAGAGCCTGTAAATCAATGCTTAACAGACTGCAAGCACAGACAAACAGACATAACACTCGCAAGTTGTTCATCGAACAAGCATTTAACGGTCAATTTAAAAGTACCATAGTTGTAAGTACCGCCACCTGTGGCACGCATAGTCAAATCCCTTGCATTTGACGTTTGCACACTACCGCCATCTGTTCAGCGTACTACCCACCACAGTGTACTCAACAGATGGCGGTAATGTTTTAGAGACGATGTTTTACAGTGAGAAATATTCAATGTGTTACGTCTGTTTGTCTGTGCTGCAAGTATCACAAAATCGATGTATTAAAATAATCTATTACCTACCTTTCCTGTTCCACATACAATATTGCCTATACAAGGCATGAGCGAAGAACACAAATTGCTCTTGATTCACAATGTGCAACATAATCCAGCAAGTACCCGAGTAGCACACTTTCATCACAATGAGTTACAGCAACTTGTTTATGACTGAAATAAGCCGTATATAAGTTTCTACAATTGATTTGTGACAAGCGTGCCACTGGGGTATCCACAATTTAACCACAGACAAACAGACATAACACATTTAATATTTCTCACTTAACCACCATCTGTTGAGTACACTGTGGTGGTCAATACGCTGAACAGATGGCGGTAATGTGTAAACGTCAAACTCAAAGGAATTGAATATGCGCGCCACAGGTGGTGGTACTACCAACTACGATACTTTTAAATTGTCCGTTAAATGCTTGTTCGATGAACAACTTGCGAGTGTTATGTCTGTTTGTCTGTGATTTAACTATTATGTGCCGCCACGATTGCACAACACCAGGCAAATTAATCATCTCTCTCGATCACGTCCGTATTCAAACTTTGGTCAGAAACGGTTTACTTATATAGGTACATCCAAATATAACAACCTACCGACAGATATACAGATGCTAACAAATCGTTCATCATTCAAATCTCACATTAAATGATGTTTACGATCTCAAATACTACAACTATTAATTGAAGCTTTCTTATATTATATATTTTTTTTATTATTATTATGTTTTTACCGTAATCAAATATTTAAGCATACATTATTTGTCAATCTTTCATTGGTATGAAGATTAATTTTGTAATGTTTTGAATATATGCGCTTCTTTAAAAGGATACTTTATCCACTAGAAGCACATGAATTGTTTTTTAGTAATAATCTCTCCTTATTGTAGAAAAAAGGCATGTTCTAGACATTAACGCAGGAGACCATAAGAAATTCAAATATGGTAAAAAAAAAGTCTGTCCTAAAAAGTAAAGGATTTTATTTTACTCCCTTAAGAACTGAGATCTTTAAGTGCATAGAATTAAATTGCTCACATCTATAAGCATTCTGTGCTGGCCGAATTCTTAAATTTAACAATGCTTTATACGACACAAAAACGGAGAAGCACACTGGTCATCCGATCGATACAACTGCCACCTCATACCAATAAAAAATTGGACCCCAGCCAAACTTCTACTAGCCGTGGCACGACGACGCAGACAACGAACGGAAGCAGCAAACCACCAGACATCTTTTTGTGTCCATGTTTGGTTTCCGGACCGTGTTTGTGTTTACTTTCCCATTCTTATTTCGACCACCATTATTGTGTATCAGCGAGCATCTTCTCCCTCTGTGGCTTAGCTGCTCCACATCCACCTTAGGAACCGATTGTTCGTTGATTGTTGTTGTTGCGAAAGACTCTTCTGCGTGTTCCTTTCAGTGGCCATTTTCATCCCATCTATTTTCTCCGGGAGTTTTTGGTTTTGGGTTGTTTATTTTCTGTCTAAATGAAAATGAAATGGTTTTCCTTCCTCTCGGATACGGCATCTGCTGAGAAGTCCACAATATCCGTCCGTCGGTTGTCCGGTGCTTTCTTGTGTATGAGATGCGGGACTTCACTGCTACACAACACCGTCGAGTCAGGAACGAGTGCAATCCAATCGTGAAACAACCGTAGAGCAATGGTATTTATGTTTTCAATTTGTGCACACAATTCGCTCACCACCACCGTTCCAGGACTATGAATAATGGAGGAAACAACTGTTTGCTTGGTTTATTTGAACCTTTAGAAGTGAATGTTTCCATCGATGAAAGGCAGTCCAGATGGACACATGTCCGTTTGGTTCAATTTGTTAAATTGTGGTTTAACTTGATACCACGTGAAACCAAGAGCGAACGAGAAAGCATTCGCCAAATTTAAATACTTGAATGGATAGCACCAGAGGAAAAACCAATATATTTATCGAGTATCTGTTTATTACCCAAAACATGCTCGAGGCCCATTCTCACACTTCACGTGTGATAACATTTAAACCTGTTTGATAGTTGTTGCTTCGGTATAAAACATTTGCTGCCGGGTAAACCGTGTTCAGTTCGTATTTAAAGTTCCCCCGAAAACGTATCATCTACCTTGAGATGTACTCTGTACCAAATATTTCTTTCGTCGCGTGCTTTTCGATCTTTACAATAATTGCTGTTTCTGCACAGGACGAGGCAATTGTGTTCCAGGAACGAGACCCATCCATAATTCATGACATACTGAAAGCACTTATCGATCAAGGGTAACAAAATCTGCATTCAGTTAAGTTAGTTGCCCAATAACCATTTAACGGTGTATTTTCAATCCATTTTGGCAGCGCATCGTTGAAAGATCACCATGTGCAGCAACGTCGTATAAAAACCAGTATTTACGTGAATGAAAGCTTTCATTTTGTGACGCCTGGTGGAGAGGAGTTTGTCATCGATAGTGAAAACGTTTACGGTAAGTTAGACCAAATATGGTGTCATGGCCAGATGACATAATTAAATGTGGTTTCTTGCATACAATTTGTCTCTGCAGATGCTAGTAAAATAAAAGTGGTGTCCAAATTTAACATAGACGATGAAGATGCTGCTAAACTGCTTCTATCACTGTTGGGAGGTGGAAGTATCAAGTCGGTGACCATTAAAAATCAACGGCGCAACATATAGCGGCTATTAGGTAATAGATGTTTGATAGACTGATTAGCGTTAGAGTAGGCTAGAGTATTGTTTTATGATAAATGTGATGTTTGCTCAAAAAATAATGAATTTTCAAAAATAATGACTGAACATGGTTAAAATATAGTCAAGCACGCTCGAGGACGGTCAACGACTTAGTAGGTTTTTTTTTCGGGAATCAACATTATAAATTTTTATCATAACTGTAGCGTCTATATATGTCATATAGCGACCACCAGCGCCGGTTAAAAATTACATTTAGTCACTATAGGCAATGTTTTCAAATAATTAGATATAAGGTGTTCCAGAAAGTATAAGGACAGTTTAATATTGGAATAAAACAACGTTATGTTAATGAACTCAAATTTTTATTTTATATATAAATGTTCTCCATAGTATTCTCCTTCAAATGGATGCAAAAAATCCGCTTCAGCCAAGGGGTGATCAGTCTACACATTTATTTTGTATCAAATTTTTCTCAGTTCTCACGTTGTGCTGCAGCTGTGCCAGCAGTGCCGAGAGTCTGCCAGTCATCTGACTGATTTTGCTTGTGTGCTAATGGCATGCTTGGCAACCCGTATAATTTAACAGTTCGAATGTTTTGTTTTGAAGGAACAACACAACAAGTAGTGGCATCCGAACCAAGGCGATGATCCAGAAGCTGGACAAACTGGCCCGATCGGATGATCCCCTCGAAAAGGTTGTGGAGTTCCAAAGAAAATACAGCATCAAAACGCATCTGATGGCATTCGGAATATACAGCCGCCGGGGAAAGCTGCTGCTGCTGTTAAAATCGCTTGCACTCTTTCGGAAATCGAAATAGTACTTGTACCTTTTGAAGAATGCGACGAAAATGTTCCGCTACTAAAGGCCGACTTCGTCAGTGGTGTCACCGGTCACCGGTGGACGCATTAAAAAAGTGCTTCCGCTTGCGGCTGTGTTCACTTACACCGTTCGAAAAATTCATGTAAATTTCTGCGAGATTTAGCGCACATAAAATTAACGCTAGATTTGGCATAAATTTACACGACATTTCGTGTAAATTTAATGCCAAATCGCATAAATTAGCAATATTGTATGCAAACTTGTAAACGATTTCGCTGTTTATGTCAAGAATAGCTCAACATTAAACGAAGGGAGATTTTACGCGATAGTTAAAATTCAGATTTTTTTTCTGTATATGTTGCCTTTACCAGCGACCGTCACTGTCAGCACCACCGGAATGATCATGTACCCGTGGAGCGACAGTCGGTGGAACTAAACTAGAACTAGCATATCCGGAACAATACAGAGTACCTAGGGGCTGTTCATAAACTACGCAGACAGTTTTTTTGAATTCTTGCCCCCCCCTCCCCCTGCGTAGACAACTTTCCATACAAAATTTTTAAAATTTGTATTGGCCGTAAATAAATGTCAACCCCCCCCCCCTAAACTGTCTACGTAGTTTATGAACAGCCCCCTAGTAGTGACGAGCCGTTCATCTTCCTTATTCCTTCATTGGCCGTTTCTCATCTCCCACACGAAGCTTCAGTGAAACAAACATAGTTTTGGCATTTTTTTCATATCATATCTGCTACTGTTTTGGAATGTGCGGAATGAATTACTGTTCGGACAGGCACAGGATGTGCACTGTTGGGGATTCTCGTGGGGTATTCAACTCGGTTTTGGGAAACCAAGCGATAATTCTAGGTTGCGTTTCAAAATGCAATAACATTGATTTGTCAACAACAATAATTTGTCACATACGCTGAGCAGGCGAAGAGAAAGTAAAGTGTTGCCAGTAGCTTTAAAAACATGAATCTTACCATCAGCGTTGCCAGTATTCCAGATTTATCTATCTATCTTGCCAGATATACAGACACATCACGTTTATTTCCAGATTTTTTTAAAAAATGTTCAAGATTTTTCCAGGTTTTTATTATATGTTGCTGTGTCAAAATCAGTTGTATTGATTTGGAAAAATAAAAAGCCAAAAATGCTACCTAACTTATAAAGGGCCATCAATGTCTCCATTGTACACTATTGCAGTATCGTACATGGTATTGGTACACCATGTTTGCTGCAAAGGTGAATTGTTGTATGTTTTGTGGGAGCTGATATTTAAGCCATTGAAGAATGAAATGATCATGACATCGTTCAGAAAGTGTTTTGTAAAACGGCAATAACGCTTGGAATTAAAAACTAGATTTTTCGAGCACATGTTGGAAAATTTCAAAAATCGAAATTTATTCATTACCATATAAATTAAAAGAAGCATTTTAATAATTTTTGTAGGCTCATCTACCAAGAAAAATTGATAAGCTCCAAGATCGCAACGCAAATTTTCCAAATTTTTTGGATATTTTTTTGAAGGCTGAGATTTTGACAGTATTTAATTGCCTAACATTAAAAAAAAAACATTTAATGATTTGCAGAATCATGAAAATGGAGACATTTTTGCTAATATTATAGACTTAGAAAAAAATTCAAGCCTGGATTTTTTATATAAATTTAGAGTCGTTCATAATTTATTTTTCAGATTCCTGGATTTTGAAAATAAAATCACGCATGGAGACATTTTTAAAATATTGAAACTTAGAAAAATCAAAAAATCGTTTAGAGCTTAAAACAAAAAAAAAACAGCATCGGAAAATTTGCAAGGCGAGCATGGCACTTTGAAGTATGTTCTTGAAGTTTTTGAGGATAATTCATAGGATTTTTTAAGGAGGCATTTGATCATTCCTACCATTTTTTTAAGTATCTTAGAATTTTGAGTTACCTTAGAATTCTCAATTACTTTAGAATTCTGGATTAACTTAGATTTTCTGAAATTTATGTTTATTCTGAAAAGAGTTGATAGGGAAGTGTGGTGAATACCATGTGAATTCAGAGGAGCATCTCAAGAAATTCTGAGAAGAGTTCCAGCGTAACTCACTCCGATGATAATTGTATGGAGAGGAGATTGTGTGGAGGAAGCGAATAGAATTATAAAGAGAAATTATATACATTTTTTAAGATTACTTTTAAGGAATGTTTAATTCAAGGAATTGCTGGGAGCATTTGTAAGGACATCTGAGAATATTATGGAATTCTGACAAATGTTTCCACGATTAATTATAATGAAATGTTGACTAATTTGAAATAAATTCTGAGAGAAGAACCTCAGAGAAGGGTGCACCAAGGAAATTATGAAGAATATTCCAAGGGTATTTCGTAGAGACGTTTGAAGAAATTTTGAAACTGTATAGTGATTTCTAAGAGATTTCTATAGAGGATTCATGCGGTCTGCAGAACACGCCTAGAACGTTATTGAAAAAAAAAAAAAAAAATATGGAGAGTATCAAGATTATTTTCAGGGAACTCAGCAAATACGTATTATGAAATTCTAGGATTATTTAAAGGGAATTCTTGAAAAAATGCCGTAGATATCTATCTGAATTTATTCTTTTCTAAATTGTCAGTCTGCGTAATCTCTGATGAAAGATGTTGTCAAAACTTCAGTATTATTAAGAACAAATCAAATCTTTGAGACATAATATGGTACAAGGATGCATCAAATAGTAAAGACTAAACCAAAAATTAGTCATAATTCTCTTAAAATCCATCCATTCAAACTTGATCAATACTTTGCTTTTTAATATTTTAAAATAGGTTACAGTTAAAAAACACTGTTGAAACATTAAGTATTTTTTGACATAAGGTTAAACTCCATTGTTGAAACTCTGTACGGATATTCAAACGTTTTGGACGCATTGTGAAAATAATTTTCTTAGCTTAGCTTTGATTTGTTTTCCGTCGATCTTGTTTTCCGTGCTGAGTACCAATGCTACCGACGTCAGGGAGGCAGCTTCCTAACCTGGACCCTACCTATCGACCCATCAACTCATGAACCGGGGACCAACGGCTTAACTTCCCATCCGAAGGAAGGCGTGATCAGAGATGTTATGCCTCAGAACATCCCTGCGGCACCGACTGGGATTGAACCCAGGCCTGCTGGGGTGAGAGGCAATCACGCTTACCACTACACCACCGGCGCCGCTATCACTACAGTTGAAAACTGAAATAACCCACTAACGAAAATCGATTTTACTCTCTTTCTAAACGTTATACATAGCGTCGGAAGAAGCGTGCTTGAATCGCACAATGATACGCTATAAGGCGCACTACTTCCGATATAACGTTTAGATCAAGAGTAAAATCGATTTTCGCTGGTGGTTTATTCCAGTTTGCAACTGTAGCAACAATATTTCAAAATAGGATTTTTACGTATTTGGATGTTTCTGAGCATTCTAGATTTTTTGCAGATTTTATATTCTAACTGGAACAGATTTTCTTGAAAATGACGTGGCAACGCTGTTTACCATGGTTGCTAAACCGTGTCAATTAGTGTGCCCATGTGTGCCCAAATCTGATTTTGGCTCACTGTGCGGAGTGATCAGCCCCTAAGCTTCAGAACAGATTCCTTGGCGATAATGTTGGCCACTTTTGTCCAGTCCATTTCCAATTCTTCGATTGAATTCGCTGCCTTAAAGTGTTTCCGTAGATATCCCTTGCAAAGGGCTCAACAAGTTTCGATTGACGGGGCCTCCGGACAATTCGGAGAATTCATCTCTTTTGGCATGTATTGCACATTGTTTGCTTTGTACCAAGCTACCGTGTCTTTCGAGTAGTGCATTGAAACCTAATCGGACCAAAATAGTACTGGACCATCATGTTGATGGATCATGGGCCGCTGACGTCGATTCAAACACCTCCGACCGTAAATTTCAGTGTTCATCGTCTCCTTCGTCACAAATGGCTATGACAACTTGCCAAACTCACAAATCACTTGCCAAACAATGGCCTTCTTACCAAATGTTTCGGTAAAAATTGACTCATCGGCATCGTCAACTTCCTGACCATCACGAATTGTGTAGTATTGGTCTCCCGGAAGCGTCTTAGAGTCAAATTTGGCTTATGTTTCATCGTCTATGATAACACACGTCAACTTTCC